TACATATTATAAAGCATTACATTGCCAACATTTCAAACTTCAGATGAAATATAGGTAATTAAAACAAGCCATCGTGTTATTAAAGGATTCCTCCAGATACTTAGAAAATATCATATCTTTCCATCAATATTGTTAGGCTTATATGCATGGAAAAGGCCATATATATGATATGCCTCACAAGTCCTGCCAAGAAATCAACATTGAAAAAACTTACTTTCTCTAAAAAATATATTCCCCAACCAGTCCCCAGGGCAAATATTCAGGAGATAAAAGACCTAATGGAGACATTAAATATGAATCATTCTACTGTAATATACTAATATACTGAACCCTACGAGAAGCATTCCCATTGATTTTCCTTTACTTTTCATGAGTATAATTTGTAAATTTCTCATAAGTACATTTCACATTAAAAAAAATGATGAATTCCACAGAGAAAGGAAAATCAGGCTATTCTTTCAGACAAGCTACTGTGCAAGAATTTGTTAACATTTATTTGAGATAAATGCAAATGTTTCAGCTAAATAAGATATGGTTTTATTAAATTCTTGTTAAATGCCTTTTTATTTTTTAAAATGTTATGAGATTATCATCTATAATTTTAAATGCCAATGTGGGGCTATAAATATAACAAGAGGACTATTGAATTGTTTCAAAATATGTGGAAGAAATTTGAATTGATATGTTATTATTTCATTATACTATTTTTCTCTAGTGGCTGCATCTAAGAATCTATATTATTCCAATGTTTATCAACAATTAAACATTAAATCACCTAGGGATGCAATGATTTGGAATGAGAATCATTTGCATCAAAAAGCTTATAACCCTATATATACTAAGGGTATTTGATGTCCGGTAAATTCAGAGTTATATATTTTGTTTGCATTTTTCTGTATTACTAGTATAAGATGATCGGTAGAAACAGGACATGGCAACAAACAAACACACATTTATAATATATATATATATGCAGTATATATGAAAAATTCAATTTATATGCACATTTGAATATCTATATAAGAAAAGTGATAAATTGCCTGTGAAAAGATCAATTTGTGTTGTAATATACATGTCATTCTCATATATAGAATTCAATAGACAACATAAAAATAAATCACAACTGAAAACATAATCTTGATTTAATTCCAAATTTGTTAACTGACCCGGATTATCAATTGACATCATAGATTTCATCATAGAGCGAAGAACTTGAATTTAAATGACATAAACTAAGGAAGAACTCCAAATCCTAGAACTTCCTTTGGATCATATTTTTGTTGTAAAACTTATGAAATATTTTTCTCCCATATGCAGACAAAACATTTGGCAAAATTTACTTACAGCATCGAACACTAAAGTCAAACCGTTAATCTTTAGGATTTGTAAATTTGAGATGTGTTTCATTTATATCTGGTGTGTGAGTTGACCAGGCCAAGTCAGCATAAATCTAATTTAAATTAATTAATTTTGACCTGATTCTAATTAGGTTTAAATTTCATACCTAAATTAATGTTTCACTAAAATTGTTATTTTCTACCCAGCATTTTGGAGGCTGCTTAGCTTAACTTTTGGAAGAACTTATGGTTTTCAAACTGCACTACTGTATTTACATCCCTATATCATCATTACTACTTTGCAAAAATTAAGTTTAGTTTCTTTGATGCTGAATACCACACTGTACAATTTTACCATAATTCACTGATCTTACTCCTGTGATCTCCATGATTTATCAGATTGTTGTATTTTTATGTCACATAGCAATAGCACTTAGACTGATATACCATTTCATTGTGCTTTATAGCCCTCTCTAAGCAGTTTACAGAGTCAGCATATTGTCCCCAACAATCTGGGTCCTCATTTTACTGACCTCGGGAGGATGGAAGGTTCAGTCAACCTTTAGCCTTGTGATATTCAAACTGCCAAACTGCTGACAATCGGCAGTCAGCAGAATTAGCCTGCAATATTGCATTCTAACCACTGTGCCACTCACCACACTAGAGATAGATGATGATATAGATGAGATATAGATACAGATAGATAGATATAGATAGATATTCTGTTCGTACTGCTATTTAGAATCATGTGGTCTGTCCTATACCTAATTGCTATGTTAAATAAAAACACAACATATTAACCAACTTTTTAAGATTAAGAATCACAGCCATTTTGGCAACATATCTCTTGCATGTTATACTGGAATGGTTGGAATGTCATAGATCTTGTTGGTAGAGTTCAGAGCATACTTCAACAACAGCACATTGGCTTTGTTTTCTCTGCAAAAGGATTGACATTTATAATGTCAATATGCCAATCAGTGTGGCAAAGTGACTAGTTCATGACAGAAGCCAGCCAATCAGCCAAACTTAAAATAGCTGTGGCGTGGAAAACTAAGCTGAAATCCAAGGACTGAAAAGTTGGCCAGATTAAATGCCATAGTAACTGATTAAACATAGATATACCTCAAACATATAGATCAGGTGGAAGAGATTTTCCAAATATTTAAAGGTGAAAGAATAACATACATTACCTCCAGATAGATGCTTTTTAACACAAACTATGCCATTATCTTTTTTTTAAAATTAAGAAATAATTTCAGAAAATAATCTATGAGGCAATGGCCAAATCTTTAAGCAACACGCTTTTTTTTTTTTTGTAAATAAAAAACCACATAGCCTATTTTTGTGAGTGTCAAAGGTTTATTTCTTTGAAGCTATTGAATGTAGTTCACATAACTAAACAAGAAAAAATAAAAGACAAAAATAAACTTAGAAAAATAATTATTTTCAAAATTCAGAGGCCAATCAGCAGGTATATTATGGTGAATTTTTAGTTAGCAGAGGCAAATGTGGACTGACAAGAATAAATGACAAGAAAATAATGGGCTTAGCCTAAAGAGAGTTTGCAAATAAATTAGTTTGATACCTAATCAACTGACTGATTATCATATTTGGGGCTGAAAGATATAATCTATTGAATCAAGGTAATCATGAACTCTTCACTGAAACAAAGAGTTGGAAGATACTTCATGTTTCCTTCTGTCTGGTTTCACCAGACACCATTTAAAAGTGTTCCAAAAATATGTTTAATTCTGTGTGATTTCATATTGCTACCTCAAATTATTTTAAGAGCATTTTCTTGAAGTCACTTTATTTATTCTCCATTACTCATTGCTTAATAAGAAAACATGTTACATCTTTAAGGCACCAAAATCCTGCACCTCTGACCCATCCCTAATAACATGCAGCTCTTCTATCTCTCTGTCCATGGGTTAATATGGAAAATCTGAGGTATAGAAGCCTAAATGCATAGGGCTACATTTTTAAAAATCTAGAACCTTGTTTATTTACATATAACATCTTGGTTGAAATGGAAGTAGAGCTTTATAGCTCATTTAGTCAAACAATGTTATTTCATGAATTATATAATTACATGTGACTATACATAACACAAAAGAATAATTCTTTTTATAACATTACTAAATGTTATTAAATGATCAGATAAATGATTTGACAACTTGTAGCCTATATCACAATACCATGTAAAATTTTAGTTGAAAATTATTCAGAATAGAATATCATAACAAATGCTATAATTTTGTTCATCATGGGGAACTTCACTAGATGCTGAACAGCAGTATATCTAATCTGCATATCATACATAAAGAGCTGAGAAAAACAAATCAAAGGTGATTCAATCTTATTATAGTATGGTCATCTTACGGTGTTCTCATCTGACCACTGTAATTACCTAAATTGATTCTAAGTCATATGCCATGTGCATTCCAAACCAGAAAGTACTTTTAGATCTCTCTATTAGAGTATCACTGAATCAAGATATTCAAGCATCCTTTTTGACAGCAATTTCACTATTATAATATATGATATTGTTATATTCATTCATATATGGTATCAAGTCTAGCAATTATAGGGTAAGAAACAATACCTTCTTATAGTTAATGAAAGGTTTGTATTAGAAATATTGTAAATAGATTGAATCATAAGAAGAGGTGGTATACAAATAAGGATAAATAAAACACGTAAGCTCAAGTTAGGGACAACTCTGTTCAAGGTTCCAAATTATCTACCGCAATTAGATATAAAGGGTACATGTTACAGTTCCAGAGTAACATTTTAAAAGTGAAGGAACATGCTTAAAAATTGGATGTGGTATTCAATATAAGCAAGCATAAAATTATGTGTTATTAAAAATATTAAGTTAAATGACAAAGAGTCTTATAACGACCATGGTAAACAGGTCAGTTAGAATAGCATTTCAATGTTCCATTGCTGTAAAAACAGTAATTTCCATACTGGCGATCCTGAATAAAGGAATAGAAAAACCAAACGTAATTTTGTAATGCCTTTTCTAATGTGCTCTGATCATTAATAATTGTATGAAACCCCTATTAGACTCATGCAAAGAAAGTTACCATAAAAGATATTTGTTCCATGAATGGAACTGGATTTTCTTTACTGAAAGAAAATACATGGTGTGATTTACCTCCATAAAGCATTTTTGTATCACATTAAAGCATTTTAGACAAGTGCTACAGGACAAAGCTCCTTTCAGCCTTTTTCTCAAGGTACATATTCCATTCAACAAAACTGTTTTCTTTTAAAATACGTATTTTCTAGCAATATTGGAGCACAGCTAAACTGAAGACAAAAACTTTAGGACTCTACATTAAAATAAATGTTAATTTTATTTTAAAATAAAAACTGAAAACATCCTACTATATCAACAATATGAAAAGGAATTAATGCAGTGTAGAAAAAAAATAGAGGTGGAAAGTGTACATTATAAACTGTAGAGGTGGAAACAGTATCAAATAATCTTTCAAGTTCCTGAAGTCTTGCTTTTACTGCAGAAAATTAAAGAGGGCTAGGTCTTTAGAAAATTAAAGAGGGCTTTGTCTTTAGAAACATTCTACAGATCGTATCTTGGCAAGTGATAAATTTGATGGAAAAAGATGGGTGTTCTGGAATTCTGTCACTTACCTTCTTTAGGAAGTCACTGCAGAATATATGTGAGTGTCCTAACTTTTCTCCTCAACTGACTGAAGCCTTTCTTTCATGGAGCCTCAAATTCCAAGTGAAGCGAAAAAACGTATTCCTTTTGAAAACAGGCAGGCTGAAGAGTCATGGAGAGTCCTTAACAAATGCAAAAGCATCCTTTCCTATCAGTACTACATCTCAAAGACATTCTAAAAATACATTCTGAAAATGAGAAAGGGAAATACTTTTTTCATAATAAAATTAAAGTTTGGGATATTGAAGGGCAACTTTTGGCACAAAGTTGGTTCAATTATTGAGCCTGTTCATATATTAAACACTGAACAAACCATTCAACATGGTATTTGTTTTTGTTTCCATGTGATATGACCCTCATTCAGAAAAGCCGAAGGACAATCTGTAGCCCCTCAAACCTGCACTACAAAATAAACCTGGTTAAGAGTTGATAAGGAGTAGTCACACTGATTTAATGCACGATAGAAGCAGATATTCTCTCATTTTACTTTTACCATCAGAATACAGCAACTGAATTTGGAATGTCAGCTCTAATATGATAGGATATTTGGTTTCCTATTAACTTGCCAGGAGTTTATTCCAAATTAATTCAACACCCATGAACTCTATAACTTTGTCCACTGATACTTTCTTCACGCACTGCATGTTTCCTCAAAAAACACTGAATGGAAAGAGCAAAAGCACTGATTGATTGATTTCTACACTAGTCTATCCCTTTAGCAATAAAAGAACCTTTCAACAATACAAATATAAAAGTTTATTTGAAATAATATAATTAAAATCTGGAAAAAGCAAGCATTAAAATAGAATAAATTAGCAGTTAAAAGTCTGACAAATGAAATGTTTTCACCAACCTCTTTGTGGTGGGGACAAGCGTAATCCTTAGAGAATGTATACTACTGATGGAGGGCATCAGTAAGAGCCATTTCCCACATATTGGATAGACAAACCTCCAGATCCTCATCTTCAAAAGAATTTCTCCAGTTGATCTGAGGAGACAGGCAGTTTTATTGTGGGAAAGATACACTAGCAGTTAGGCTCTATCTTGACTAGGATTTTAGAGATCAGTATCAAGCCTTCCTACTTTTTTGATTGGATCATGATTCCTGTAGTTTGCAGCTGTTAGTTAGCTATCCACAAATTTCTATATATATTTGCATCTGCCAGCTATCTATCCACAATTTTTATACAAGTGCAGTTTTTGGATTCTTTTTGAAAACATCCCTAACGTGAACCCAGAAATATCCCAAAACAAAGAGTCCAGGGAAATCCAATGCTATACTAGAGACCACCTCAGGTAGCTCAGGAAAAGACACTATTATACAGTGAGCAGATGGTGTATCCTCTTTACTATCCCAACCACCAAAATGTAGTACCCACAAGCATTTACAATTTTTCAAAAGATCAGATGGAACTTCAAACTAGACAGGTGGAATCTATATCACCTTCCCATCCTCCAACTTTAGCCTAGCTGCAATATGGAGTATTCTAAAAGAGTTGGGAAAGACTACCATCTCTTCTCCTTAGTCAGGTCTTTGTAATGCATGCCAGTTCAGCAGAATAGGCATGTTGCAGGCCGTGTCAGTCCGATTATTCTGGCTGCTGGGGTCCAGGAGAAGCGCCTTCTCTGCCATTGTACTTGCCCACTGGAATATCTTGCTTCCTGGAGTGAGATTGGCTCCAACCCTCCTGACCTTCCGTAAGGACCTAAGGACCTGGTAGACTCTACCAGTCTAGTTAGCTTTGGGTTCCAATGAAGGCACATCGCAATGGAAGCGGTTGATCTATTAACAACAGATCCCACGTCCTCTCTATCCTGCACTTGGCCTTCCCATCTTTTAATTGCGCTGCAGTGTTTGACTTTTCGTACTAACTTATTTATGTTTTAATGTAGTTTTTATCTTTTATGATTGTAAGCCACTCAGAATTACCTTGAGGCAAATTTTACAAATAAATAAAATGAATAATTAATAATCATCCAGATTATCATCATATAGATATATGTTTTCTAAATAACTGATGTAGTCAGTGGTGGGATTCAAGTAATTAACAACCGGTTCTCTGCCCTAATGATTTCTTCCAACAACCAGTTTGCCAAACTGCTCAAAAAGTTAACAACCGGTTCTTCCGAAGTGGTGTGAACTGGCTGAATCCCACCACTGCATATAGCATTAAAGAGCAGTCCTTTAAACTGAAGTCTAAATGACTGTGATCACTTGTATTCTTGATTAGTTTGCAACCTGAATTTAGAGAATGTCAAGCAAAAAATCAGTCTCTCATTCACTGATTTCAATGTTTCTTGGGAAGATGGGACTTCCCAACTAGGGCAATCTCCTTTTGGTCACCCCACCAATGGCATGTCCTCCACCAGTAGCAGAGCTGTCATTCTTTTACCTAGAGTAAGGAAGGTGATCCTGATAGAAATATGCAACAGCTGTTACTCGGACAAAGGGAGCTGAAACATTTTTAAGTCCTGAGAAACAATATAATATTCAGAAGCAGATCAGGCAGACACCTCCTTGAATCACTGGAGTATAAGAAGGAAGAGGAAGTAAGTGCAATAGGAAGTTTTTATTATTATAGCCAAACTGAATAAAAATAGTTTTAATCTTCCTGCAGGGTTGTTTCTGATTTACTGTAATCTGTCTACTGAGGCTGCACTTAGGAAGTAGAAGCCTGATCCTATAAACAGAAAAGCTGAAACAATTCTGCAATTTTATCTGCTTTCTTGTACTTCTTAAACTATAGCAGTATTTTTCAACTGGTATTTCTAAAAGTAGAGGGCTGGGCACTTAACTGGGGAAAACAGAGACTGCTAAAGGTCTTTTGAAGGCATTAGCTTTTTTATTGTTAGCCATTACATAGTATATTTCTGGTTTAAACAGACATTATTTGCCCACTAAGTCATTATGGCTTATTCATGGTTTTAAAAAAATCTGAATTTCTGCAACTTGTGTGCACTACAAATCTTTTTTTAATATTAGTTCAAATGGCACTTTTTATCTTCTTGCAAAACTAGAAATCAGAGCTAGAGAACATGCACTTATTGGAATACTGTATTTGCTTTAAATTAAACAGCATGCTCTTCTCCGAAGAGCAATTTTTTTAAAAGATAAATTGTTAAAGAATACATCTTTTGGGATTTCTAATAATTTATTCAAGAGAAAAATATACAAATATAGTCAATTATCCTTAAAATGCAGCGCTTTAAAAGAAGTATCTTATTTTTGTAACTAAATCAAATTAAATATTTCATATTGTAATAAAATTTAATAAGATTGAAAGTGGATATGGGTATGCGTGTGTGTTTACATGTCTGCTTATCAATCTAGATCAGGGGTGTCCAACCTTGGCAACTTTAAGACTTGTGGTGTTCATTTCCCAGAATTCCCCAGATAGCATGGGAAATTCTTTTATTTTAAATTATTTTGTAGTTGTATTTGTTGGTCTGAGATCATAAATAATAATATGCAGGTGTGGCAATAAAACAAATAGAAGAAAGGATTGTGATACAGGTTGATAAGAAGCAGCCCAGAACAATAATAAAAACTAATAATTATTCTAAAGAATTTGGATGATTGTGAGGAATCCCAACACTACAATCTGTAAGATACTAGTTAGCTGTAAGTTCAGTTATTGGGCCATCTTAACCCTGTTTCCACATCTGCCTTGTTATTTCTTATAGACTCAGATTTTTTAAAGGTTTATTTTAGTTGTGTTATGCTTTATGACTGCATTGCTTGGTGACGGAAATTCCATTCCCAACTGTCATAACTTTAGGATTACCTATATACAAGTCTATGATCCTTGGAAGGATATTAATTTCTGCAAATGATTTCCAACTAATGGGAAACTTGCAGTCTGTTTCTCAATAGTTATGACCCTACTTGGCCACATGTTGTCTTTCCTATTTTTCATTATTATTATTAGCTTTAAGGTCACAGGGAAAGCAGACAGGACAGCTAAAACAGAATGTTGTAAACAAATGTGAACACCCTAAGAATTCTCATTTTCCCAAACACAATTAAACTCATACTGAAAAGTTTATTATTTCCTGGATGATTTTAACATATGGTTGATGACTTTTAATCAAGTACACATTTGTTCTCTTCCAAGTTTATTTTAAGCTACTGTATTTGAATTATCTTCACCCTTATCACTGTCAAGTTAGATTATAAATGTTTATCCAAAGAAAAGCTGAGCAAATCTTCTGAAAATCTAAAACGAAGGTTTTAACTCTTAAAACTAATAGTTGAATTCTATAACATTTTCTTCTAAGGTTTTCTAAGCCTAACCCAAAGGCCATAAAATTAAATAGGTCTTTGCATTTAAAACCATAACCCTTATTGATTTTGGGTGTTGTTTTAGCATAATGTAGAAGTAGATGCACTGTTTTAAAATTCTTTTATAAAAATATTTTTAATTAATATTTTTAAAAGAATTGAAATCTAAATTTAAAGATCATGATGTCTACATGGCAAAGTAACCCCTAAGAGTACAAAATACTGGGTAAAAACAAAAGCACTTACTCACCAGTGCTCTTAATCTGCACTATAGATTAAATCAGGGACAGACAACAACAACCTATCTTGGGTTGCCTGCAAACCCACTTTTTGTACCTTCAAGAACTTGGATTGACAACCAAAATACTGAATATCAACATTATAATTCCCTGTTTCTTTTTAAAATAAATGTGTGCATCAAGACTGCCTAAATGTTTACCACAGCTTTCTTTTAAAAAGATTTCTGAAAAACTTTACCTCACCTAAAATGAACTGAACTCTCCTCAGACCCTTCCTGAACAACAAAAACAAAATCTGGAAAATAAAAACAACGAAAGTAAAAAAATGTGCAGCACTGAATTCAAAAGTGGTTGCATTGTACCCAATGCAATATAATTGCAAGTCTTCCTGACTAAAAGATATTTCTAAGAAATCTTGTCTGATTTGATTTACACGGCCAAAAAAAAAAAAAAGCAGAGGGGGGATCAATCAAATAAAAATAACTATCGAATAAACAGCTTCATCTGGAAGAAACGAAAGAATCCGTATAATGTACAAAATCTAGATTCTGCTTTGGACTTCTCCTGGGTTATGTAAATATACCTTATTTCAGGTTGTTGTTTGTTAACTAGACTACTGGGAAGTGTAACTGCTCATGCAACCAGGACTGTGAAACAGCAGTAAGTAACATTTAGGTATCATGTTCATAATTTCTAAATAGTCAAACATAGTTCTCCCTGGGACAAATTTGCTCAGCATATATACAGACAAAAGAAAAAGAAAAAAAATAAGAAGAATTCGAGACATTTTGTGACATTTGACAACAACCTAGAAGATAAACAACATAAATAGTTCAGTAAAAATATAGCAAATATTAGCTGCTGTTTGTCTATATAGAGAGCTTCAGTCGATAGCAAAAAGAGTACAAATACAGTTAGCAGCAAACTCCATTGAAATCAATGGGATTGGGATTTTCTCACCTCTGAGAGAGGAAGCATAGAAAATGAATAAGTAAGTAAGTAAGTAAATAAATGATTTCAGTAACAGATTAATACAAAACTCTTCTATCCCTTTACTTGAAAATCATGAATCATTGGTCCTTTCTGTGGCATAGTAGCAATCAGGTCTGATACATTTGGCTTTTATGACAAAAATGCTTTATTATATAAATATATAGAAGATATACTTAACACTTATTGACTAAAAGAATGTGATTTTTTTTATTTGAATCACTTTTAAACCTTACTACGCTTATATTAAGGAGCCTGAGTGGCGTAGGAGGCTAATGCCTCCTACTAAGGCAGCATTTAACATCCAGCTGCCTGCAATTACTGCGAGTTCAATTCTCAACAGGCTCAAGGTCGACTCAGCCTTCCATCCTTTCTAAGGTGGGTAAAATGGGGACCCGGTTTGTGTGGGCAATAAGCTGACTTTGTATAAAATATACAAAAGTATGAAGGCTATTGCTTAACGCATTGTAAGCCTCC